GAGATTCCCCTAAGTAGGTCCCTGAAGAGGCCAAAGTCAGCTCTCCTGAAGTCCAGGGTTGCAATGCTACTTTTTGCCCTGCTCCCTCCTCGTAGGATCCTGAACTCCACCATCTCATGGTCACTGCAGCCAAGGCTGCCTCCAACCTTCACATCTCCAACCAGACCTTCTTTGTTTGTCAGTACAAGGTCTAGCATTGCACCTCTCCTCGTTCGTGTCTCCACCACCTGGCTCAAGAAATTATCATCAGTGCTCTGCAGGAACCTCTTTGACTGTTTGTGCCTAGCTGTGCTGTCTTGCCAACAGATGTGAGGGTGGTGGAAGTCTCCCAGGAGAACCAGGGCCTGTGATCGTGAGGCTACTTCCAGCTACTTCCAGCTGTCGGTAGAAGGCCTCATCGATGACTTCCTCCTGGTCAGGTGGCCTGTAGTAAAGCCCCACAACAGTGTCACCCATGTTACCCTGCCCTTTAATCCTTACCTCAACTTGCTCTCAACTTGCTCTTCATCCACCCCGAGGCAGAGCTCCATACATTCTAGTTGCTCCCTCACATGAAGAGCAACTCTATCACCTCGCCTTCCTGGCCTGTCTTTCCTAAAAAGCACATAGCCATCCATGACAGCATTCCAGTCATGTGAACTATCCCACCACGTCTCTGTAACCGCAATGAGATCACGGCCCTGCGACCGCACACAGGTCTCTAACTCTTCCTGCTTATTCCCCATGCTGCGCGCATTAGTGTACAGACCCGTTGTCTGGAGTACAGACAACGTAAGACCCAATTTCTAAAATACTAAAAACAAATACACAATGATTTCAAACAACACATCTTTCAACACGCAAACTTCTTGCAAACTGCAACTGTAGGAAATACCAGTGTGAAAATATTTTAAAGGTCTAGATTTGTATGGTTTTGCTCACCATTCTGAGTATCTTCATCTTTTATCCAGTCAATAATTTCTAACATCCTCCTTTCTTCCTCAGGAGAAATAATCTTTTCAACTACTGTTAGGCCTGGAGGCAAGTTTGTAGGTACAGCAGTCTTCCAAAAAACTAGGGTGTATGGAAAAAGAGAATATGGTTTATTTTCCCTAAACAGTGACAATGTGTTCCCTATAGGTTATAGCTATAGGAATATTTACTATTTGTAGGAATACAGTATAGCTATAAGAATATTTGCTTTAAGGATGCAACAGAGCCTTGACTGGTTTCTGATTTGATGAATGAATGATCCTTTTTGACATGATGAAACAAGATAAAACCCAAATACTGCATAAAACAAAACACTTTCTATGTTTTAATGCATAAGACAATAAGACTCCACGCTTCCCAAACGCAAAACCGTCTGTTTTTCTGCCAAAATAATGATTAAGAATTTTCCAGTAATTTCAGGAGAGATTCTATCAGCATTTCAGTTTAACTTTCATTTAACTTCCAGTAAAATTTATGTATTAACTTCAGTGATTCATCTCTGCGTCTGGCTGTCAAGCAGAATATCACTGAAATTCTAATGTTCCAACTACCATTAACAGGGAAAAAACATGCTTTGTTATTTCTTATATTTGATGCCCAGAGAAGCAGTGTGAATCAAATATGGAAGACCACAATGCTATACCTATCTGAACAGAAAATGCCGCTGACCCAGAGGCCTTCAGCTAGCTGTCCTAATTTTTTTTAATTAAAAATATCTATTGTCTGACAGAACGTACAGATCAACCTTTTTGCACCAGACACTATACAAACTCACAGGAAAAGTGACATAGGAAGAGGGTTCCTATCCTAAAAACAGTCAGTCACAAAAGAGAGGCTGGAGAGAGCAAAAAAGCAGAAATCTCATTGTACCTATTTTCCTTCCCTGGGGATGAGAAAGAGATCACAAGGTCAAGGTCACAGAAGTAGTCCAGTGAACTATCCTGAGATCTCCTGGATCCCAACTTAGCTCCTTAATCACAAAACCTTTATGTGCAGCACTGAATGGTCTGGAAACTACCTAAATGACCACCTCCTTCCTTGTGCCTCCAAGCATAAAGGAGTCCAAAGCAGAGCATCCTGTCATCAAATACAAGGAGAAAAGGATATTTTTGTGAGGTATCTTAGATTCTGGTTTCTATTCTCTGTCTCCACTTACAGAGATCAGTGGGTTTGTAACTACATTTACACTCTAAGAAGCAAAAGCAAAGGGAAATACTGTTCATTAAGTTTCACAGGTGAACAGAACAACAATACCTTTTTCCACAAAATTAATATATAGAACAATATTTTGGCCGAAGTCCTCTAGTGCAACTTCTTTCCCATTGAGGGCATCAAAGGCTTTCTTGGCTTCTTCTGTTGTCTCATATTTCACAAATGAATATGGTTTATTCGGTGGCATTAAGAGTGTTTCCACCAATCCATATCCTTCTACTATCCTGAGTAGCTGGTGTCTGCTCATCCCATTACCTAGACCACCATTGGCAACAACCAAGCTCTAATTGAAGAGAAATAAAAGGAAAAGGAGAATTAGTGATTACTGTTGATCGATCTGAAATAAACACTCTAACAATACAACAGCTCTATAAAGAAAAACGGAGCAAGACCACGAATACTCTTCTGTATTCCACACAAACTATTTATATTTCGATTAGCCTGGTGTCTGAGGCTAGAGCACAGGCAATCTGTATTTGTCCAGCGCACATTCTGGCATAAAAGCTTTCAACCTCTGTCAAGATACAGTTTCAGTTATTGCAAGCAGCTGCAAGACCACTTAAGCTTGGAACTGGCATGCATGTGTCCTCAGGTGTACTGCAGGTAAAAAGTGACACTGGCAGACATAATTTTGGAGTCTTCTAAAAAGGAGCTTTTGTGAAGACCTGTTACTACTAACAAAAACAAATAGAAAAACTTTATTAGACTGTGATTCTTTTTTGTTGTTGTTGTTAACAAAGGATTTCCCTTCTTTGCCAAGGAGTCTTTCCAAGTACAGAAATTGGTATTCCCAGCCTCACTCCATGGGCCTCATACAAATGGAAGCAGCCTTTAAAAACAGAGCATCTAGCTCTGCTCTAGCACTCTTACCTGAAAATTTTCCTGCTTACTTTTATATGCAAGTGGGATCCCATCCTTGGTAACACAGATTACTTCAAGTACAAAGCATAATTGCTTAATGTTAGGCTTTCATAGTGATTTATGACCAGAATTTTCAGTGACAGTTTGTAAGGACCACTGCTGGTTCGCTAAATATCAGAAGAAACACAAAAAAATAGATTTTTAAAGGACTACTATTTAAGGAAAGTCCTTTGCAAAAACCATAGTCCTTAAAAAAAAATTAGGAAGTTCTTTTGACATGTGAATAGGTATGTGCCATAACTAGATGTTCAGTCTAACCATGGAGGATAAAGAAGTTTAAACCTCATTTTAAAGGTAAATGAGGATGCAGTCTAGAAGTTTTGATTGAGCTCTGGTGACTCCATACAGCTAGTAACAATTTACTCACATTGCCTCCATGTAACACCTTTCCAGAAAACTCTCAGACAATCTTTTCCTTAAACTCTATAAATGTTCTGTGACCTTTTCTGAAAGCAGCTGGTAAAGTGTTCAATTGTTTCAAATGATAGCATTTCAGTTCTCTAAAAGGCTGAAAATTAGGTTTAAAATTGAAGAGAAGGATTTAATAACGAAAAAGATGACAGTAATTTTTTTTAAAACGATGAGCATACCTGAGATACTGCTGAGATTGTCTGTTGTGGGGGCTCTGTTAACACTTCCTTTTTAGACAGCATCAGGCCATCCATTACTGATCAAATTTTTCAAGGATAACCACATTAATGTATTGTTATTAATGTATTGTTAAGTACTGTTATTAATACAAATTCCAGAACGTTACTAGCAGGGAGACCCATTGTGTAGGGGAAACGAGGAGACTCAAACCAGTGCTTTTACTGACTATAGACACTTCATCTGCATGGACATTCACTACAAAACAGCAGCACATACAGCAACTGATCTGTGACTTATGACTGAGCAATGTCAATATAATCAGATGCCCTGCACTAAGCCTGTAAGGATATTGTGGAGCCTTGACATAAGTCAGCACTATGACTTCATTTGATACATGACTTACGAAAAGTGTTCCATCATCCCTTAGGAGCTTGGTGGACTCAAAAATTATTCATTTGGGTAGATTAGATGGATAATTTGGTACCTGGGGCAGCGTAAAGGGAAAAAAAATCTAAAAAAAAAAAAACCCCATCTACAAGCAACACTAGGGGAGGAAAAAAAAAAATCCTACAAAGACTTACAATACATACAAGATTGCTGGGTCATTTTAGCATATGCTCACACACTGTGAAATCTCAGTGAAGACAAAGCCCCATTTTGTTAGGAAAATGTATAAAGATTTAACATGTTTCTGTATTTGAATGGGAAGAATTTGCAAGATCAAGATGAATAGAGCAAATGATACAGTACTAGAATATGTTTCAAGCCAATTTAGCATCTCCCCACAGCTGACACAAAGAAGTCAGACTCTCTAATATCCTCCCTCCCCTAGCCCCTGGCCGCAAGTTCCTGCCGCTTACCTTTTGCTATCACCAGTATCCACCAGGTACTTCTCTGATCTGCTGTAACTCTCTACCGTGACAGAAAACTAGCAGATCAAAAAGCTGGGTAGTTTTCTGTTAGGTTAGGGAATAAAGTAGATTATGGAAAATTTCATTGAGTGTCATAATGAAGACAAAGAACTGCCCTCTCTTGTACCCTTTTATGCAAAAGAGAATGTTTGCAAGGGATGAGAATGTTCTCCCCTTTTCAACAGCTGCAAGTCAGTCAATCAGTTCAACTCCCACAGAATCACAGCCTAAATCAATTTAGGTGAAGAAAACAACATAGGAAAGATTCCTAAGATAGACAAGTTTTTAACAGGGTGTGTAGGTGAGACAGATTATATTTGATGAAAAAGTATACAGGAAAAAGATACAGAGCTAGAAGCCAGAGAAGAAAAGAAATCATCAGAAGAAAGAAGAAAAGTGCATCTACTTCAACAGGGTAATGTTTTTCATCATCCTCCCCAACCCAAACTATTGTTTCAGGCTAAAAAAAACTTCATCCAAAGACTAGCAATGTCTCTCCACAGACATTAACAGCTGAAGTCCAATTCCGCTTTGGAATCAAAGAGGTACAGCCAACCCTCAGTCTCAAGAACTGCATTTCAGAAAAACATAAGGGAAATTAACACACAGATAAGCAGCATTTTCACACACACATAAAAATCAGAGCTGTGAATCACCTGTGTGGCATGGGAGACACACTCAATGCCCTCATGTCTCATCAATGTGTGCTGAGCTCTGACCTGCTTCCTCAATATTTTCTTCCTCATTTTACAAGCTTTCAAATGGTCTTGACTGGCTTCGTCAACTTCTCTGCCGGAGATCTGGGGAAGAGAGGTATTAATACATAGTAAGTGTCCTGCTTGAAAAATGAAATACCTCAGTCTGCTCTAGCACACCGCTCTGCTATAGCGTCCCTGTGATCTTTAGGGTAGCAATGGAACTTTTGATAATTCCAGCTTTCATGAGTTATTTGGGGCTGACAAAACTGAATCTGCAAATCACTGTCCTCCTCAGTCAATAGCACAGTTCTCCTAACCTTAGAAGGTTTGTTATTAAACTCTCTTTTGTTAAGAGGCTTCCTCCTTGCTGCATACATCTTTTTGTAGTTTTTACTCTGCCTGCCCCTCCTGTTTTCACACAGTAATTTCAGTTGATTTCCTTCTCCTTCTTACACAGTCTCTCCGGAGCAGAACAAAGTAAAAAACGTATCCGGAACTGCTATGACACTTGCATCATCTTAGCTTCTAAGTTATTCAATGCCTCACTTAATGCTTGAGTTTTGGAGAGGAACTGCTCCCACTGGCCTCCTATTTCAGACTTGCCACTTTCAAATGAATATGACATTTGGCAAAACTTGCTTTCTTGAAAGTAGAAAAATGTGTCTGATACCTAGAAGCCCAAGAATGAGTGATCAGAATGCTCCCACCTCATCTGCTTGAGGATATCTGCCTTGGGAGATGTGCTAAACACATTCCTGTCATGGGAAGGAACAAAAAAAATTGTGTACATCTGTTGACTGTTGAATTAGTGGCAGCATGCCATTTACCCTTCAGTAACTCACTGGCAGGTAACTCATTCATGGGCCTTCCCTAGGTTTTGTTGCATCTTTTGCCCCTCCTGGTCTACTACCATACTGAGATCAAGCAGTAGCCTTCCTGTAACCCTCTGAGCCTACTTTCTTTTCCCACTTCCTTCAAACCTGAGGAAACAGTCCAGACCTTACTTAAGACTATGACAAAGCTTCCAGACACTGATGTAGCCAGACTGTGCCTTTCCCCCCCTCCCCTCCCTATAGCATAATCCCTTTCCCATATTTTCAGGGTTCCCTCTCTTCTACTTCTTTCCTAAAAGCAGAGCTAGACAAACCACCTGCAGCTCTCTGTCTTTTCCCATTCTTTTACTTCATGAATTCCCTAACAATCTTTCTCTTCACCTCAAAAAATGTTAAGTAAGTATAGTGGTGATTGGTATAGCTTTCTTTTTTTTCTTTTTTTTTTTAAATTTAAATACGCCAACGGCTCCATCAGTCTGTCATCTGTTTGCATATTTTCCAGCTTGCAAGATTGGTCCCTGATACCTAAGCTGCAGACACAACCACTATAATAGGACAATGTGTCACAGGAAAACAATAAAGGCCAAAGAAATGATTCATTTTATTATTTGATGAAACTTTGCACTGAATGCCTTGGTGAATATTTGATTTCTAAAAAATGAAAATATGTTAGCAAAATTACAAAAAATTATAGAGTCGAATAGGAACTGTAATTATATAGTCATTGTGGCTGCTGCAGCGTTACCATTGTCAAAACGCACAACCATTAACTACACTGCTGAAAATCTTTAAGGAGAACCCAAGGGAAAACCGCACCCAGTAGCAGTAAGATTCTAATCCTCCACAAAGGAGCAAAATAAATGCTGCTGAAGAAAACTCAGTGTTTTGCACCTCTTTAACATCTGTTGCTTCTTTCTCCTACCCTTGCTTTTCCACTCACAAACTCCATTTTACAGCAGTCTCAAATTAAAATACTTGCCAAAGAAAACTAGTTGAAACACAGGGTAACAATGTTTTCTGCCAAACCCGGCAAGCTATTAGCTAGTCTATCCTGAGGTTGTATCAGAGGTCCACCACCAGGTTTGAGACGTGGCATGAATAGCTGTAACAGCTTGAACCCTGGCCTCTTGGCCACGCATTATTCAATTTTTACACAGATCCTGACCACATAAAACCTGTATTTACATCTCAGCCTTACAAGGAAACCAATAGACTACTCGGCACCAAGATCCATCCTACCAGCACTAGACTGTTGCCAGTTCCTACAGTCACTTATTTGTAGTTAATTTGAGTATAACTGCACTGATACGCAGCGTAAGCATAGTGTAGGAAAAGTAAATCTCACTAGTGACAAATCTCTAAAAGGGCATAGTTTCAAAAGAGGAAAGATATCTACTGAAATAATTCATTTATATGACTTCAGAAACATAAAGGGTAGAGGCAGAAGAGCTTGATGGGCTATCCAGCACATCTTCCTTCCTGTAAGAGGTTATTATGCATTTATTAGCTTCCTTCAGAGACTGTTCCAAGACAGAGCTCACTAAGGGCTTTTGCTTATCTTCTATTCTTATTTTCTCCCTTCCTTTCCTGAATCTTTTGGTACTTTCTTAACTAATTATTTTCCCTTCTGGATTGCAAACAGTTAGGGAGTCCTCAGTTCATTCCTCGACCAAACCACACTTGCTTCCAAAGGCAGTAAGTTCAAAATACTTTTCCTATTGAAGAGTCTTCATTTAATCTTCAACCAGGGTTAAACGCACATACAACCCCAACACTCTCCTAAACACTCATTAGCCAAATAACAGTAGAGAAATCTCCAATTTGCTTAGACAAAAAGACCAGTGAATTTATATTTCACCTGGGAAAGAAAGAACACAGAGAAAAACATAAAACAAACTTAAAGTGCTAGTTCATCTTACTGCATGAACAGCTAAAAGAATATTCTGAGAAATCAGATGAGAAGGATGTGTGGATGGGAGGTTGCTGGGTTTTTTTGTTGAGAGAGACTTCAAACTATGTAATTTATTGCTAGAGCTATTGGTTACTGGCAGGTAGCATCACAGCATCTCATGGGAAGAACGTGGGTTTTTGTCTTTGCCAAGAAAAGGAGAACAAAAGATAAATGCAAGTAAAGCTATCTGTAAAAAAAAAAAAAAAAAAAAAAAAGGCTCTCATCAGAAGAGGCATCTGTTTACAGCAAAGCTCCCCTAAGCACATCTAATAGGCTAACCCCTACCAGAAGGGTTCATCTGATTTGCAGGCTTGTTCAGCAAGCTCATGCATGAACACATTGTCGAAATAACAGATTTGGTCCTAAAGGCTTGGTCTGCCCAGTTGTATTTGCCGTACTACGGCGAACAAAGGCCTATAGCTTTACAGAGGCTACTCTGTCTTGTCCATGCAGGTTCTTATCCTCTCCTTGAGGGAATAAGCAGTCTCAAATCACTTTGCAGGAAAGTGGAAGAGAGACCCATCTTTGATTTTGGTAAGATGCGGGTGCAGAAAGAGAATAAAAATACATCGTAATGCATAGGAGGAGTTCACTCTTTGGAATCATGCAAATCTGTTTCAGTAAGAGAAGTGTGGAGACTATACACATCACCTATACCAGTCATACCGCTGTCAGACAGCCTCCTCAGCACAGGCCCAGCCAGAAGAACAGCACACCCAAGTGAAAGGTCTGGCACAGAGGGTCTACAGCTCAGCATACTGGGTGAGCGCATCTGACCTCAGAGAAAAGCAGCCCTGGGTTTAAGCAGGCCTCAGACAGCAAGCCCTGACAAACTCCCACATTTTCTAGGCAAAAGTCAAGAAGTAGCGGCCCAATACTTGGAAAATCAGCATAAAAACCAAAGCAGAAATACTACTTTCCACGCTGTTGTTAACTCCGAACCAACACAACAAGGGACAGATGAGGTGCAACCCAGCTGCCTAAACCAAGGTATTTAAAGTTAGTGGAGAAGCCCTACCCTACGCTGCCTACTCTTCTAACTGCTGCTCCAAAGCGCTGTGTCATACCTGCCGGCATCATGCAGATGTCTCTGACCCCTGGAGGTGTCCCAGATAGCACTAGATGCCTTCACGGGGACAGCAGAACCTTCATCTCAGTGTTGTTATCAGAGGCTTGATTCTGCAGCCACCAAAACCAACAGTTTTCCTTGGCCTTAGTTGAGGAACCACAGTCATACCTAAGTAAAAAACTTTATTTGGTAGCGCTTCATACTCACTTTCCAAGCACCCGGCGGCAGAGCATTCATGACTACTGCCACCTCCCTTCACGAGCATCAGAAAGTAGCTCCTCAAAACACACCAGTCTACCCTAACAACCTCAGCTCCCCTTACAGGGGGGCACACACTTGTTCTGAAATTACTACACGGGCACCTGAAAGCTTTAACTAGGACTGGAAGGGAGGCGGGGGGAGACGGCCTGATCTGCCCCAGGAGCCACTTCCGCAGGGAAAAGCGCCTCCTCCAGCCGAGCTGAGCCAAACAGGAGTCACCAGCAGAGGGAGCACTAAACCCAGCTATTAAGTTTGGCAGTTTATTATCGAGTTTGGGGGGTTTGTTTCGTTTTCAAGAAACATAAATGCATACAGAAACTGCATACACACAAACACGTCAACACTCCTAGAAGAAATGAAACACGGAAACCCTCATCGTCTAAGTGGCGACCTAGAAGCTCCAGCATTGTCCAAAGACGCCTGAAAGCGCTGGCGTACCCCTACGGTTCTTCTCGCAGCGTTTTTGACAGCGATGCCTGAGCCTCCCAATGATATCCCCCAAATTCATGCGGTGTGAGCATTTGCTGGCTTGGCCCCCGCCTCTCGCT